ATATATTAAAAAAAAAATTTTATCTTGACCTACGGTTCGAGCACTTAAAGAACAAGATTTTTATTCATAAGTCAATTTATATAGAAAAGTTCTACAATGAGTCTATATAAAGCTCATCCATTAATTCCCAATGATAGTTCGTTTACTTGATATCCAAAAAGATCTTTTTTTAATTTCAAAAAGATAACGAAGAATTATTTGATCATGAGTATCATAACTTAGTGCAATTGGTGCATTGATATATCTTACTAATAATACTTGGTTTGATATAGCCTTTTCTATAAATTTATTAGCAAGACATAAGTTTTGCTCCAATATGGAGACATTGAAATGGAATTAAACATTTCCTATATTATCTCTAAGAAAAAATTCATATGGTATTTATTTGACTCAAATAAATCAAAATTGGGCTAATTAGTTATGCGGATGCGGGTTATTTATCCGATCCATACCAAACTCAATTATAAACTAGTTATGTATTTACACTTGGTGATATAGCTATATCATGACATTCTATGAAGTAAACTATAGCTACTAAATATTCAAATTACCATGGAGAAATACCAATTTATGAAGCAAGTCAAGAATGTGTTTGGCTAAGATCAACGATTCATCATATGCGAGAGATATGCGGTTTACCTACCACCAAAGAAGTTTCAATAATATTTTATATGAAGATAATGTTGCTTGCATAATTCCATTAAAGGAAGAATATATCAATGTGACAATCCGATGGACTTATTTACTAAGGCATTACCTACCACAACTTTTAAAAAATGGTTCATAAGACTGAGATGTATCGTCTTAAAGATCTTAAATGATGTTTTCAACATAGGGAGCACAACATTGAGATTAATAACCACAAGAAATATTATACTTTTTTTTCCTTCACTAGGATTATTTTCCACTAGGTTTTTTTCTAGTAAGGTTCTAACGAGGCATATTCTTTGTACAATAGACATTCGAGGGGGTGTTATAAAATAATGAATGTCCATATGACTATTCATATATTTTTCTTGTCCCCACTACTCATAATTCTTAATGTGATTCAATTCATTATTCAGTATGAGAAATTAAAAGAGTGATGTAGATGATTCAATAATTTATGTACTTTTAATTATTCATAGTCCATTTCAATTCTATTTCCACTTTTGAAGCCTATAAATAAGCTTGATTGTTCATTAGTTTGTGTACAAGTATTTTATAGAGATTGAGAGATTATTTGAGTTGTTATCTCTTGTATTTACTTTATCTTATAGTATATTCATTTTTTTATCTTCTTTCTCTTCAATTCTACCATTGTTATTATTTCTTTTATAACAATAGTTAAATTATATGTCATTTACATCCCTAATTAATTTCAATTAATATCAATTAATGAATAGGTATCAACTTACATCTAGATCTTTTAAATTGTTTAAAAATTATGATAATATAGTGTTTGAATTATATGTCATTTATATCCATATTAATGTTCAATTGAGCCCTTCTAGGAAAAAGAAGAAGAAGAAGAAATCAAGTGGTACAATTAACATTATTGCAACTAAAAAAATTAGGAGTAATTAAAATTTAAATTTAATATCGAATTTTTATTTTGTTGTAGGATATGATTTTCTAAATTCAATAAATTCTTCTATAAATATTTTATTATGTTGAATAAATATGTTTAGGTGGATAGATGTGTGAACATATTTGTGAATAAATTTCTATTTGATATTTGGATTCATCAGTTAATATCATAAATAATGATATAATTTATATTATAGTTTTCAAGCATTGAAAATAATTCAGAATTTAAATTGAATACACATTGATAATTTTCATTTAATTTTTAAATAAATTTAATGAGCAATTCAATAAATAATTAATAGTATTGTTGAATTAGTATGTTTAGATAAACAAATATGTGGAAATTTTGTGGAAAAGTTTCTATTCCATATTCAAATTCATCAAATGATTCCATAATAATGATGGTTAGTTCTATTTAAAGATTATCATAAGTTATTGCATACAAAAAAAAATAATAATAAAATAAAATAAAATAAATTAGATATATTCTTATATCAAATTAGAGATATCCTTGGTAGCAAACAAACAAACCCATTTAAGGTGGTACTAATGATGTAATTATTAAAATTTGAAAAAGGTCTTGCAACAATAACAATGTGAAAAATAAGATGAAATAACCTAATTATAATCGAGTTTTTACCTCTAATTTGAAGAATATTATAAAAATAAGAATCACGAGTTGACAAAAGAAACTAAAATAAAATGAGATTTTATTATTTATGTCACTCACAAATCACTATTCCTTTCACTATTAATGATAATGTTGTAATTTTCAATATATTTGAAGCATTTTGATATGCAATTTTTCATTCTTTTAAGAATGTTACGTTTTTGTTCTTAATTTTTTTCACATATTTTTGTTTTGATTTCTAACTTTATTTGTATTGTAATTTGGTTTTTGAATATAAAGAGTAGAGAAAAAAAGAAAGAAAAAAGAGAGAATAGAGAGGCATGGCAAGGCCCTATTCTAGCCAACAACGGGTTGTTTGTTTTTTTTAAAAAAAGAAAAAAGATGGTTTGTGCTAGCATTACTTGGTTTTTTTATTCCTTTTTTTTTCGGTGACTTTTTTTTATTATTGGCTTTTTTTTTTGGGAAAAAATTAGAGAAGATCGATGATTATTTTGTTTTCATACAACCTAACAAGAAAGAATAAATATGATATATTTTTATATTTTATATTGAATATATATTTCAGATTATATTATTTTTATTATTTAAAATGTATTATTTTAATTTGTCATTTCTTATGAAAATTGTCATCCAATTAATTTAAATTATATTTACTGATAATTTTGATTTATTTTTCTTTATATATGGATTTTGGAATAAATTTTTAAAAAATAACTATTTTTTTTCTTTTAAAAAGTGAGTTATATAATTTATATGATTGATTCTTAGAGTTTTTAAATTATAATAGATTACATTAAAAATGTATTTTAAATAATTTATCTTGATTGTTTAGAAAAATAATTCAAATTAGTTAATTAATAATTAAAAGTTGGATGTGAGAAACAAAAGAGAGATGGTCGCTCTATGTGTAAGGTCCGTAAACAAGAACTAGCCATGTATGACCTATAAATAAAAGATTATTTAAGACGGAAAAAAGGATGAAATTCATGTGTTTGATATATATAATGAAAATTTATAGAAATCAATTTTGTAATAATTTTTATTTTAATCTATTAACTTTAAATTTATTCAATATATTCCTTATAGGTTAAAATTTTTTTATAGTGTTTTTCTTTATGCTAAAAACTCTAAACTCACTCGGTATAGTAACGATACACACACACAAATATATATATTAGTTGTTTTTTTTAAAAAAAATTATCTATACAGACTACCACAATACTAAGCATTTACATATAATCTTATGAAAGCATACGATGTGTGTGTGTGTGTGTCTATGTGTGTGTGTATATATATATATATATATATTGTATTTTTTTAAATTTTTTATTTCTATGTAATTTTTTTATTATTTATTACTTTTTTTCACACAATCTTATGAAATATTAAGGCTTTTCTAAAAACATTTATTGAATTTTCTTTTAAGTTAAGAATCCATGGTTTTAGAAGGAAAAAAAATCCTTTTTTTAATGAAAAAATGTGAAAAACAAAAAGAAGAAATAATTAAATACAAATTTGAATTAGAAAATTATAAATAATTTAGTTTTATCTTTGATTTCATATATTTTGTATTTTTGTAGACTTACGATATAGCACAAATTATCAAATTAAAATAATTTTTCAAATGATTTCATCTATTTTATCAAACTTGTTATGTAATACTGACAATAAAACTAGTTCTATTCTAAAAAATGGGTAACATTAAAGAAATAATTTCCAAATAGCCGATATGGCATGTACTTATCAATTAATTTTTTTTTTAATTTTTGTGGAAAAAAATGAAATTATATTTTAGGAAGGAAAGACTAGTAAGCAAATTAGAAAAGAAAGAAAGAAGTAATGCCTCGATCCCTCCAATTTGATCTATTCTCGAGTTCTGGGAGAGTGGGAGTCGATCGTCGTGCATGGATCAGAACCATTTTACGGCAAGGAATCACCAGGATTCCAGATTTATGTCTCCCAACTTGTGAGTTATTTATACCAGGTTTTCTTATTTCTTCAATTAAAAAGCTCGCATCATTATATGTTTGTGTAAAGCACTATAGCCTTCGTAATAGCTCCTAAGCTTATATGCAACTTCTGAGTACCTGTATGTCCAACATTGAACTACAATTCAGAATCATTGAAATCCCATTTTTTTTAAAAGGCCATCATCTCGTAAAAAGGACATTTCTTCCGATCTAAGTTTCATCACATGAAATTGGAAGGGATAAATGTAGCTAATGACAACTGATCATTAAGATGCGGTAGCTGACCCGCAAAAGGTCCTTTTCAAACATGAGTGCTGCCTTTAGAATCATATTGCTTTCTAAGAAATTGACGGTCTTTGGATCAAAGCCCGATGACAAGGCCGGCATTATAGGAAAATCTCTTGGCGCGGTGTGTGATGGAATCCCAGGGTGTACCATAACACAATATCTTTATTCTTAATTGCACGCTTCCTGCTGACCATGACATATATATATATATATATATAGACGGAGAAAACTAGAGTCCGTACGTAAAATTTACTGCAACGTGGATCGAACCATCCGTTTGAAATTCCTAATAAAATATGTAATCATAGCCTTCCACTGACGCTGCCATTCGAGCCATAAGTGTCACCTTTGGTCTTGCCTTTTTAATCTGAAAAAATTCCAGTGTTTGAAAAAGCTCAAATAAGCAAAAATGTTGCAATAAGGGGTAGAATCTCTTGAACAATAGACAGCGGATATCGCATTGGAGCTAGGCTTCTTAAATCTCAATTTGGCTATACACCTAACACTGCAGTTTGTACCTCTTTTTAAGACTGATAAGGCAGTTAAGTATGCCCATCTTCTCTCTGTTTTTTTGTCCCCTCTAAATGTCGTCTCGTTTCATTTGTTTCTGATACCTGTTATTTAGGGGAAATGCAAAAAGAAAATCACAAAAATGTAGTGACATCAACAAAGTCTCCTACATTGAAACCATTTACCGGAATCTCCGATTGTCGCCAACTGATATCTCCAGCATACCGTTCGAACACATTAATCATGTTCGGCTGAACATATGGTTTCCCATCCCATGACACAAATATTCCATCCATATGGTAAGAGTGCCTAGGAAAATGATTTCGTGGCAAGTGACAGTGATGTTACTCGCATACCAAATTCACAAGCGTCCATATATGCCGTAAAGTACCAATTCTCGTCGGGATCCATGTAAGGCACAAATAATTCTGAAGAGAACCCTTTCTTCACACTTCTAGGCACCCCGGTCTCCTAGTCACTAACCATGGCTAGTGAAATCACAATGCCAACTCGTAGGTCAGCCTTCGGATGGAACTCCCAGTAAGCCCATTTCACTATGTGCCCATCTTCAATGCTAGAGCTACGCCCTTGTGGATGCTCTATTGATATTGGGTTTGTTGGCTTCATTTTGAGTGGCTCTTTTTGGGCCGTGTATCTGTAGTCAGTGAATTAGACTATCTCTTTCTTGTCAATGTCCACTGTCATGGTCAGCCCTTCAAGTTGTCTCATGTAGAAATTGGGTGTTCCTTGGTTCGAGAAACATTGGACCTTTATGAGCCTCCTTCCTTCCTCATTCGACCCAAACCAGCCAGCTGTTGGGGTGACGCATGTTGAATCAGATAATGAGAGCCCACGTTTGATGGCAGACTTATTCAACTACTTGTAAGAGAGAGCGACTTGCATTGCCACCGAAATGTCGTCCATCGTTAACATCGGGTAACCTGAGCCATGGTTGATTTCATTGCTTGTGACCAGGCCCAAATCAAAGTCAACAGAGAGCACATGCGATTGACCATTCAATGGTGCAATTACAAGTGCTTTGCGAGGAGGAAGAGGGTCACCTTCTTTCCAGTCCAAGACCAAATCCTTGTGAGGTTCATTCATCAAGGGATAGGGAGTGAATAGCTGGAAAAGAAGGCAAAAAGGTGGAGAAGTTGAGATAATGGTCCGCACATTGTTGACTTCTTGCATGGTAAGTGGGTCTAAGGGGTGGTGAGGGTTGTCTTCTACGTGGTCTTTGGGTTTGTGAATTTGAGTCTCCAAAGCTGAGCCCAAATGAGCACAAACTCTGCTTTCGAAGTTGCACCACGAGGTTGATTGAGAATAACCAAAGAAGCCTGGTTGGTTTAGAGAGTAATGTGGAGAAATTTAAAAATATTCCTGGAGTTCATACTTGTATCTTTTAAGAGAGAGATTGACATTTAAAATTAATAATAATAATTAAAAAAAAATCGGATTCTACTAAAAATGATAAAAGCATTTCCATCTCAATTCAATTTTTTTTCTTCTCTTTGTGTTTATTTTTTTCTTATTAAATAAATTAGTTACTCTACCAATAATATAAAGATTTTTAATACAACGAACGTTTTGTATTTGATATATCTATCATTGGAGAACGTATTCGTACTGATACGAACCCACACTAAATCACTCTCCTTGTAAATTGCAAGTTTTCGAAACCTTAACACTTCTTTGCCACGGTCTTCATTAGTTAATCTAAACAAGTTGCTTAGAAGTTGTTTTACTCACGGAAGAAAAACCCCAATAGAATCCATTTCAACCCCTGGAACAGAAACACTAATCAAAACCTCATCAGTCACTCCATAACATGGTATAGAAACTCCAGCTGAAATCTCCTCAACAAACACACTCTCGGAAATCCCCAAAACAGCACCACCACTCACAGCCTCATCCTTAACATCACCATCATTCTCGACAGCAAACAAATCAGTATGATTAAGTGCCGTTCCTTTTTGTGTTCTTGCTTGTTATAGGTGTAAAATCTGTATCTAGATGTAGAGGGGCATCATGAATGGGTTTTGACACCTTTTTTGTAGTCATTTAAGAGAGAAAATTAGAGAAACAAAAGCCACAAAGTGGCGGATTGAGAAGAGGAGAAACAGTTCTAGACGGTAGGTGAGGAAAAGGAAGAAAGTTTCATACTTTGTCACATTTTATACATTTTGATCTTTATTTAGGTTGCTAAGCTTAAGAGTCTTTAGATTACGTCTTTAATTTCAGCAGATCAGGAGACTGAAATCTGAATCAATGACCTTTCAACTCCTATGAGCTGTCCAGTTTAGGAGTATTTTAGACTAGTTGTAGACGTCTTTTTTACTTGAATTTTTTTACATGTTATGAATACCTTGACATGTGTTTAAAGTTTCATAACTTTTGGATATCGTTTAAACCCTTTTTCTGAATTTTCTCTGTCTTCTAGCTACCGACATACATGCTTTAGACATGTACAAGAACATTAATCCGAGATACAAATACAGAAACACTGATAAGTTATGGTAAAAAAACTTCTTTATTTTAAATCTTGACATGGAATAAGGATGACAGCCATTTTATTTATTTCTTTAATGGATTGTTAGATTTAGTAAAATAATTTGGTAGGTATATCTATATTAAGAAAAGGTGTCTGAAACTTATCTTGGGTTGCTCTATTGGTTGGGTTCCAACGAAAAGTTCAACCTTTTTTTTTGCATCAGAATAAGCAAGAAGCAGAACTAATTATATTATTGCCCATATTATTGGAACAAAAATTCTAGTTTCTATATTATTGCATGTTGTAATGCTACTTTAATAACGTGTTTGCTAATTGTGTAACATCAATCTTGTCCCATTACATAAACTAATTGATTGATCGATATTTCAGACTGAATTATGAAGCAGAAGCACATCTAACTATAGAGCATAATTTTTTTTTAAAAAGAAAAAAGAAAAAAGAAAAAAACCGAAGCATAGTCTACAAGGAACAAATTTAAGACTGAAATTAAGCTCTATTTTCAGACCTTCTCAGGAACACATTCATATTTTTCTAACAAAAACACTGCCTTGGTTAAAATTTGATGGAAACTAAGTGAAACTAACATAATTAATTTTAATTTCAAATCCATTAAAGGATTAATTGGATTAATTTTGTAATTGAATGAGTAATTGCATTTTGATAAATACTTCATGACAGAGAAGAAATTAGCTAATTGAGGCAAAGTTTAGTGGAAAAAACCTTGAGCAAAAGCACAAAATAATTATAGAGGAACACATAATGAAGTATAATATGTCGTAAACAAATCTAGGATTAAAATGAAGTTCTTTTATTAAATATTTTCTAGGTTTACTCCTATATTTTCCCAATAAACACATTGTCTAAATTTAAAATAGCTGGAACGTAAATAAAAGCTCTATCATATGACTGAAAGAACAACATTACTTGAAAGTAAACATGAGATATATCACAGGAATTATCAACTCATTGAAAAATGCATTGCAGAAAGATGAATAATGGAATAAAAGTCCACTGAGAACAAATATATCGAGCATTTTAAGACATACTCCTTGGTTTTCTCCCTATCCATGCCACTCCAGTCCACCCCAACATAAAATAGATGGCCGCTGATACATCAATTAGCTATTAGGTATATTATATCACATTAAGCAGATTCATGAACATAACAAAGTTTTTGTTCTTACTAGCACAATATACCAATCAAAGATCTGTCTCTGTCCTAATATGGATAGGTAGAAAACTGCAAAATAATAAAAGAAATAAAAAGGCATCGCTTCAGCTCATTGCTAAAGAAGAATACTTTTTTCTTAGGGATCATTGGAAAGTAAAGTTACAAATGTACAGATGGGGCGAAAAAAGAAAGGGAAAGGTGGAGTTAGGTCGAAAGGTTAATCAATTCATCAACAAAGTGAAGAGGTGGATCAAAAGCATAATTCTCAAGCAAAGGTTCACATAATATAGGCACTATCTATCAAGATAAAAAAGAATAGAACTTAAAAAGTAATATTATTACAGAAAATATAGCAAGTTTGCTTTGCAAAAAGAGTTAAAGAATCAAGTTAAAGAATACTATTACATACCTCCCATCAGGTTGCTAAAGGTTCCTTATTGACATGGATATCAATTTAGGGTTAATATTTGACAAATTATAGCCAATAGTCTTCAATATGGATTAGGTGTAATAAGTGCTTGCCAAATGGCTGTGATTGTAAATCAAAATCTATAGGCAAATCAAACATCATAAGTTATATATAGGAACAAAAGTATACAGACAAATCGATGTCATAAGTTTTTCTGCAAAAACATAATGAACTACTTAATGCAAGCATTATTTAAAAAAAAAAAAAAAAAGCATTATAAAAAAAATTATAGGGCAGTTCAAGTCTATCATATTCATACCCTATTATTGTGCAAAGGAAATTGAGAAGCGAAGCAAGCATAGAACCCATAAAATTGTCTTATAACAATCCAAAAGCTTATTATAATTAAGCGTTACAATGATCATATATAGTAATCAAATCTAATAAAATGTAACAAACTTCTTTAGCAATCAAGTTTATATTATTGTTCAATTCAGCTTTATCTTCGATATTAGCTTGCAAAACCTAAGCAATAACAGCATCCTTGTCCACCTATAACACAAAAAACATGAACCCATTAATGTAAAAAATCAATTAATTCATTGGTTTTATCAAAATTCTAAATCTGACGAATTCAAAGCATAATTAGCAGATATAGAGAATAGTTTATACATTGAATATTAGCAACGGAATATTACATTTTGATTTCTATGAGAAAAGGCTTGGTTCTGATGCCACATTACATTCCTATCGGACAGCAGATGAATCAAACCCATTAGTAACCTTGTTCTTGAATGAATATAATATGCTGGAAACTTGTACTGATGTGAAGTTAATAGTAGATACTTACATTTCTAAGATAAGAGACCAAAAATCCATGCTAGTATTTTTGCAAACAAAAGCGAGACAAATGAGAGGGAAAAAAAACACCAAATGCAAAGAATTCAATACAAAAAAAAAAAAAAAAAAAAAAAAAAAAAAGGTTCTAATTCCTTCCTTAAAAAGAGGCAAAAATTAAGATGCTAGGAGTGCAAATGATGACATGTGAGAAACCCAAGGCCGGATCGAAGTTGTAAACTTTTGAGAAACATTAAGACATAAAGATGTAATAATCCATGAAAAAAAATGACAATCTAGGTTAATCTTTTGTTTTTTTGGTGAGAAAATAAAGGAAAAGCCAAGACAAATAAAAGCTTATGATGGCCGGGTGGTGAAGCGAGGCTATGGAGCAACTAGTGAAGGATCATGCATCCTATAGAGGTGTGAAATAAAATAAAAATTTTCTCCATCTAAAGGGCTCAAGATCATGCCGTTGAATTAACTAACCATATATTTATGAATTAAAGTGATGAATAGAGAATTACCTCTTGTAGTACAGATTTAAACCTTTGTAAATAAGAGTCATCCAAGTGTACGGCATCTAATGATAATTCACGCGAGTCCAAGTATCCACAAAAGAAGCACTCAAAATTAGTGAAGTGCTAGCTTCACCTTTTCCGACTTATTTAGTGTTTCCTATAAAAATCTAATCGAGTAATTTCGTGACAACCTAAAGAGAGAGAGAAGAAAGGTGGCATGCTAGGTTAGGGAGAAAATAATTTTTTCCTAGTTTTTATTTTGAGTCATGTGTCTCTTTTATTTTTATATGTAGCAAATTTTTTCTCCCATAAATTGCTTACCTTTTGCTGCACCTCTCCTCCTATTTATCGAGGGAGAGTTTTCTTGTCCTCTAAGGACAAGAATGCGCATCAATGAGTCCCTAAAGGACTCTAGGTTGTTGCTTCCTATTCTTCCAAGGATTAAGAGTTATTTTGCATGTGAGTCGTTGATTCTTATATTTAAAACATTTATCCTTATCCATAACATTTATATTTATCCTCTCACCAAACTATCTTTTGGGCTTTTAATTAAACCTATTGGCCCAAAATTATTTTGATTCAATTAATTAATTTGGATTATCCAAATAAATTAAGTTCGATAATTTTAGGAGGCCCACATTAGGAAACAATTTCCTAAATTATCTTTAAACCTAAATTAGAAAACTAATTTCTATTTTTTGGTTCTTCATTCCAAATTTGAAACTAACTTCTAAATTAGAAAACTAATTTCTAAAATAGGAAACTCGTCCATTTTAGGAAACTTTCTATTTTAGAAAACTTTCCATTTTCGAAAATCTTTTCCAAAATAGAAAACTTTCAAAATTGGACACTTTTTCCAACATCCGTGCCTCTCTTTAATCACGTGAATAACTCAATAGACTCCTAGATATGTTGGCAATGTATCAAGAATAAAAGACAACTCTTTTATTTTTTGATACATAAGTCAAGATTGGCCTCTAGCAAAGCATCATGACTATCTAATTCTCTAGGAGGATTAATTAATTCATAATTATCTTTCATGATCATGGTTACCATAAAATTTAGTTCTCATGTCAACTTATCACAATGTGATCTCAAGCCTAGTTATTAGTCTTGTTCGATTACGATCATAGAAGTTTTATTCATTTTTCAAATGTCTTAGCTTTTAGAGTAAGCCAACTATGCTCTATTGATGTACTCCTACTGTGGCCACCATAAATTTCTTGAGTAGGCATTAATCGAAGTGCAATATAATAACTCATTTAGTATAAAAGGAATGACATATCCTATCTTAGTCATTCACTCGCCTCTATGAGATTCTTAGTATGCCTAATAAACCATTCACATGTAGCCCTTTATAGAGTCCATTGAAACGAGTGTCAAAGCACATAAATCCTTCAATGAGATAACCATGATGACCTCCGGTCTAAGGATCAATTTTACCCAACTCATATGAGATTTTTATAGACTAAACCAAATAGGTTATCATGGTCGATCAAGTTCAATGATGTGTTTTCTAACATAAATCACATAAGTGCTTGCTTTGGCATCATTATGCCAATAGGTGTAAGATCTTCTATTACTATCATATAACATGAGCATAACACTCAT